AAAAAAAAAAAAAAAAAAAAAAAAAAAGAACAAGAGTTGCTGGGAAACATGGAACACACCTGTAAGCCCAGCACTTGGGAGGCTGAGGCAGGAGTATTGCTGTGAGTTTGAGGGCAGCCTGGGCTACATAGCAAGTCCTTGCTCAAAACCAAAAAACAGCTGGGCGTGGTATCGCACACCTGTAATCCCAGCACTCAGAAGGCTAAGGCAGGAGGATCGTTGTGAGTTTGAGGCCTGGACTACAAAGTGAGCTCAAGGCCAGCCTAAACTGTATAATGAGACCCTGTCTCAAAAACACAAAAAACAAACAAACAATCAAAACAAATAAAAAGCCAAAAAGACTGGCTCTGGGGAGAAGGATCTGGAGTGAGGACCTTGGGAGCTACGGTGGGGCAGTAGAGACAAATCCATCCTGCCTGAATCCGCTCTCCCTCCCTTCCTATCTCCTCCGTCACGCTCTTTTCCCTCATTCCGATTCTGGTTTCCTTTTCCCTCCCTGGCTTCCTTCTCCCTTTCCTCCCCGCCCTTCCTTCCCTCCATCTTTCCATTTTCCAGAAGCGTTCCCGTGGGCCCAGGCGCCCTGTGTCCCTCCCAAGGGAGACAACCTGCTTGGATCGGTTCGTGCACATCACAGACGGCCGGTGACTGGGCCACCCCCGGGCCAGCCTCACCCAGGCTGTGCGTTAGTCTTTCCCAGTAGAGCCAGGGGCCTCCGCACATCCTTATTTTTAACTGGACTCCTCCATGAAGACATTGTTTCCAAATAAGACCAAGTTCTGAGGCCATGAGGACTAGGACTTCAACACACCTCTTTTGGAGGGACACAGTCCAAATGACCACAGACTGCAACACGGTTTCGGGCTGAGTCAGCAAACAGTACCTGCTTCACACAGTCCACCCCTTGGTTGCCGTCATAGGTACTCAGCTCCACAAAGAGGAGAAAAGGAAAGCAGGCAGAATCGCAGACATTTTCACCCTCTCCCTAGAGGGAGACTCAAAGGCACCCTGCCCACCAGAGCTGGGGGAGCTGCCTTAGTTGGTCCCAGAACTCCCTGCCGACCAGGTTCCTCTCCGTGCGCTTCCATCCCCTTCCGCTGCGACTCCTGCCCGGCGGCATGTGCCCTGCCGAGTCCGACCGCCATCGCTGCGCCCCGGTCAGAGCGCGGAAACTGGTTCTTGACCCCAGAGTCTGCAGCTCACAGCACTTGGAGGTCATAACACCAGACACAGCCGGGGTGGGGCCGCACAGCCGCGACCCCAGCACTCGGGAGGCTGAGGCAGAAAGATTGCACGTTTGACCTCAACCTGAGCTATATGGTGACTTAGTTAGCGGTCTCAAAATAAAAAAATAAAAATAAAGGGCTGGGGATGTGCTCAAGTGTGAAAGTCCTGGGTTCAGACTCCAGTGTCACAAAACAAACAGAGACAACTGCTTGACAAAACCGAATTTCCTCTGCTAACATTCATGGGATCTGAATGGGATCTGAAGTTCTGAGTGATTTATCAATCAGAAGCAGGGATGTGGCAGTGTGGGAAGAAAGGACCCTACACCAATTTTTTTCTTTTGCAGTACCAGGGATTGGACCCAGGGCCTTTGCACTGAGCTACGGCCACAGCCCTTTTTAATATTTTGAGACAGGGTCTCATTAAGTTACCAAGCAGTCCAAGCTGAGCTGGAACTTGTGATCCTCCTGCCTCAGCCTCACAGAGTGCAGGATTGCAGGTGTGCACTGCCACACCTGGCTGACTAAGCCAACTTTCATCAGCCAGAATAACCGATCACACCTGCACAGATGTGACAGCTTCAAAGTGGGATTTAAGCTTCGGGATTTAACTCCATTGTTCTCTTAGGGGCTACTTAGCTCAGAAACACAGGCCTTGGCCAAGTCAGCCGGAAACCTTTAGTTTCTGCCCTGCCTTTTCGGAGTCTCCGGGAGATGCTGCCACTGACGCCTACTGAAGAAGAGCTGCTGTATTTTTTTTTCCCCCAGTTCTGGGCATTGAACCCAGGGCCTTTCTACTGAGTGACATTCCCAGCCCATTTTTTAATTTTTCAGACAAGGTCTTGCTAAGTCACTAAATTGCCTTGGCTGGGCTCGAATTTCTGATCCTCCTGCCTCAGGCTCCCAGAGTGCTGGGACCACAGGTGGTGCCGCCATGCTTGCCTGAGGAAGAGCTGTAGGAGTGGTTGAAGGCCTCATATTCACTGGTATGGCGATGGCCGGTCCTCCAGAGGGGCTCAGGGCCTAGGAGGGCCTGGTGCCCCTGATTCCACCCAGATTTGCTCATTTCTATGCCTCGGGGCCTGAGCTGCACTAAGTAGTGGCCGGATCTGGACTCCATTGTGGCAGCGTGGCCAGGTTGTCCAGCCCAGACCGTAGAGGGCGAGGCCCCCTGCTCACTTCCAACGCCCCCACCGCCAGCAACAACAGTGCTGATAACAGTGCTGTGGTGTTAAGTCACAATCGCTCTGCCCCAGCCTCCCGGCCTCTAGCTACACCCAGGGGTTGGCACCTGTCCTGTCCTGCTTTTCATCTCTTACAGTAGAGCCGCACCCTGGAGGGGCCTCTGATTCCCCCAGGGGTTCCCAGCCAACAGCTTCACTGACCCGCTCTACAGCCCACTGGTTGGGGTTTTTTGTCCTGGGGTGGGAAAGCCTCACTCTCCTCTGTCCAGGGTGTCTGGAGACAACCCCAGGAGCTCCTGTACTTTCTGGACATCTGTTCTGCACAGCCACTTTGTCCTGGCCCTGCTTTCTCTTGGAGCAGAGTTGGAAAGGACAGATGTCTGTACCCAAACAGAAGGCAGTGGGCCAGGGATATAGCTCAGTGGCACAAAACCTGCCTGGCAAGTACAAGGTCCTGCGTTCGAGTTCCGGTGCCAAAAAAAAAAGAAAAAAAAAGCCAGTGCTTGGGGCTGTCTTGGCCAGGAGGGAACTCTTGTGTCACATTTTGGAACCTCCTTACAGTTGTCACAGGCCATGGCCAGTGAGTGAAGAAGCCACCAAGAGCCACGTATTCATTTCAAGTTCAACTGGCTGTGACCAGGAGGGAGACAGACCTGGTGGCTGAGTCTGTGCTATCCAGGAAGCTTCTCCCCAGAGGGGCTACGCCTGGCACACTCGTGTGGACAGCTTCAGAGTGCTGGTCCCCACTGAACAGCAGCCACACGCACTCACACACGCACCGCTGACACACACTCACATGCTAGCGACATAAACAGTTTTTTGATAATGGGGATTGAACCTAGGACTTTCACAGTCTAGGGGAAGTCTTTTTGAGACAGGGTCTCACTATGCAGTTCAGGCTGGGCTTGAACTCACTTTGTAGCCCCAGGCTGACCTTAAACGCGCAGCAATCCTCCTGCCTCAGCCTCCCAAGTGCTGGTATTATAGGCATGCACCACCATACCCTGCGTCCTTTTTGTATACTTTCATTCTGACACAAGGTCTTGCTAAGTCACTAAGTTGCTCAGGCAGGACTGGAACTTGCCATCCTCTTCCTGCCTCAGCCTCCCAGAGTGCTGGGATTACAGGCGTGAGTCACTATGTTGGGCAAGACCCACAGCTAAACAAACAGTGCACTCACAGGAGGTTCCCAATTTATAGTGGTTTGACTTACAGGTTTTTGTGGTTCGAGAGCTGTACGTATTCTGAACTGTGCTCCTTCCCCAGCAAGCGCTGTGTGCTCTCAGACTCTTGCAGTGAGCTCCACGCCATGAGCCCCACAACCTCGAGGGCGAACAGCTCGCACTCTAGGGTGCTGTGCTGCCGAGCTGTGATGCTTGGTGAACTGGATGTATTCAATGACTTTTTCCTTCTTCTTCTTTTTTTTTTTTTTTTTTTTTTTGTGTAGGGATTGAACATGGAGTATTGTGCCTGCTAAGCAGCTGCCCTACCACTGAGCTACATTCCCAGCCCTTTCTATTTTATTTTGAGACAGGGTTTTGTAAGATGCCCAGGCAGGGCCCACACTTGGCAATCCTCCTACTTCAGCTTCTCGTTTAACTGGGATTAATGATGTGCAGTACCATGCCTGGATAAATACATTTTTGATTTATGATATTTTCAATTTACAGTAGATTACAATGTGGCCCATCAAAAATCAAGCAGTTGGGGTCTGGGATATAGCTCAGTGGCACAAGCACCTGCCTGGCAAGCGCAAGGTCCTGAGTTCGATTCCTGGTACCAAAGAAAAAAACATCCAAGAGTATTTGTACTCATATATACATGTACCTTATTCACAACCACCTACACACTATACATCCACACATATATATACACAATAGATGCACACTCATATGCTACAATGTATATGTCCATTGCTATGCACACAATTTCACCATAAATATACACACCATGTATAGACACCCCCCACACAATGTACACACATCCTCCTTCATAAAAATACCATATAAAAGCACAACATCTACACATACCTGCACAAACATACACTCTAGCCAGGCATGGTGGCACACTCCTGTAATCTCGGCACTTGGGAGGCTGAGGCAGGAGGCTCGCCGTGAGCTCGAGGCCATTCCAGGCTACAGAGTGAGGTCAAGACTAGCCTGAGCTGCACAGTGAGACCCTGTCTCAGAAAGAAAAGAAAGATCGATCGATTGATCTGTCCAGCCTAGCATGATCAACATAGTGACTTAGCAAAACTCTGTCTCAAAATAAAAAAGGGCTGGAGATGTCGCTCAGTGTGAAGGCCCTGGGTTCAATGCCCCCATACAAAGACAGAGAGACTGTAGAGACATATCTGCATGCGTGTACTCATGCATGCACCCACTATGTACACGCAAGCAGAGGAAACCCAACTCATGCGCACCCACCAGGTAGGTGCACACAGCAGGTGGCCCTGTCACGCACCCCTGGGCTGCGTGGCATCTGCAGCTGACGCCCTCCCTTCCCTCCCAACAGCCATGGCCAGCGCCCAGAGCTCCTTCTCCTTCCCCATGGGGCACTTTGTCCTCTTCGTCTTCATCGCTTCCACCGTCTACCACCTGCAGCAGCGGCTGGCGCAGATGGAACCCAGGTGGGAGGAGCAGAAGGCGCGTCTCCCACCAGCGCCGCCTGTGCAACCCGAGGGCAGCGAGAGGCCCACGGCCCCGCAGCCTGAGGGCATGTGGACGATCAACGCCATCGGCCGCCTGGGCAACCAGATGGGCCAGTACGCCACGCTGTACGCCCTGGCCAAGATGAACGGGCGGCCGGCCTACATCCCCGCGCACATGCACAACACGCTGGCCCCGCTCTTCCGCATCAGCCTCCCGGTCCTGCACGGCGCCACGGCCGGCAGCGTCGCCTGGCGCAACTACCACCTGGACGACTGGATGCAGGAGCGCTACCGCCACATCCCCGGCCGCTACGTGCGCCTCACGGGCTACCCCTGCTCCTGGACCTTCTACCACCACCTGCGGCCCGACATCCTGCGCGAGTTCAGCCTGCACGAGCACGTGCGGCGCGACGCCCAGGCCTTCCTGCGGGAGCTGCGCGTGGGCGGCGCGCGGCCGCGCACCTTCGTGGGCGTGCACGTGCGGCGCGGTGACTACGTGCAGGTGATGCCGCGCGTGTGGAAGGGGGTGGTGGCCGACCGCGGCTACCTGCGGCAGGCGCTGGACTGGTTCCGCGCCCGCTACCCCGCGCCGGTCTTCGTGGTCACCAGCAACGGGATGGCCTGGTGCCGGGAGAACATCGACGCCTCGCGCGGCGACGTGGTGTTCGCGGGCACCGGCGTGGAGGGCTCGCCCGGCAGGGACTTCGCGCTGCTCACGCAGTGCAATCACACGGTCATGACCATCGGGACCTTCGGCATCTGGGCCGCCTACCTGGCGGGAGGGGACGCCGTGTACCTGGCCAACTACACGCTGCCCGACTCGCCCTTCCTCAAGGTCTTCAAGCCCGAGGCGGCCTTCCTGCCGCAGTGGGTGGGCATCGCCGCCGACCTGTCCCCATTGCTCAAGCTGGAGGAAGAGAAGTCCCACCAACGCGGCCACACCACGCGGCCGGGGCCTGGCACGAGCAGGCCGGGGGCGCCCAGCTCCAGCCTCAGTTAACCCAGCAGCTCAGCAGCGTCATGGGCGAGCTCAGCGCCACCGTCTTGTTATTTTATTGTTGCATCTTAGAAATTGTAATGGTAACACTCCTCACAGGGAGTTCGCACTGCACAGGATACAGCTCGCTTTTTTCCCATTCCCCTCCCTCCCCCTCCCTTCCCCTCATTTACAAAAGCTGTTTTCACTTTCCCCTCTGTTCTTTTTTTTTCCCCGTCCCTTCTTTCGTCCCTCCCCCCTTGTTTCCCTTCTTATTTGAACACTTTCTTCCATTTCCCAGTATCTGTCATACATTTTTGCACTTTCGGCTTCTCATACTGGAGAAACAGTGTGGTATTTACACATGTGCCACCCGTCTTCCTGCTGTGCCAGTGTCTCCTCTCAGCCCTGTTGTCTTTGGTCCCAAAAGGGCTGCCACAGATCCAGCTGTTGCATGCAGGCAACCTCTTTCAGAGGCAGCAAAACATTTTTTAAAAAGCCTCATTCTTATCCTGGGTCCTTTTGAAGAATGGGGGAAACCATCTATATCCCTCTCCTGTTCACTATTAGGATCTATCCCTGAGCCTGGCTATTTATGAAGGTCTTGGAGGACCTCAGGACGGTGGCATCATAATGACAGGAGATGCCTCGATTATATATGCAGAGCAGGGGGCAGGGCCAGGTCTACTCTTCCCCTTGGACCTTCTTGCAAGAACTTGGGTTGCCCAGAAATCACGCTAATCCCTTTGGAGGCCGGTGTTTCCTCTGACCCAAAGACCTCCCGTGAGGCTTCAGCTCTCAAAGGGCCCAGCGTCTCTCAGCCCCACACTGACACCAAACTACTATACACGGGGGCTGGGGATTTTGCTCAACAGCACAGTGCCTGCCTGGCAAACGCGAGGTTGTCAGTTCGATTCCTGGTACCAGAAAAAAAAAAAAAAAAACCACCACACATAAACCCTGGGGGACATCCTGAAATCACACAAACCACAGCACCAGCCGGGCATGGTAGGGCACTCCTGTCATCCCAGCACTTAGGAGGCTGTGGCAGGAGGTAGGAGTTTGAGGCCTGAACTCTCTGTAACTGTATAGATCACCAGCTTGGACTATACAGTGAGTTCAAGGCCAGCCTGGACTACACAGTGAGACCCTGTCTCAAAGATATATGCATCTATTCTCTAGCCTTTCCCTAAGTATATGTGGTGCACAACTATTATGTAGCAGAAAGTGGTCCAGCGGCAGGGGCGTGCTGTGCTCTTGGTGGTTAGGACAGCCTCATTTCAGGAGCCGCAGACAGAGCCCTCACTGTCACTCAGACACAGCTGGACCTCCAGGAGAGAGACCCTGGAGGCCTCAGTGCCAGACGCCCCAGGCCCCAGTCAGAGTCAGCATCCCCTTTGGGGCCATTTCCTGTAGGCCGTGGGCGGGATGGCCTAGGGCAGATCTAGTAGGGAGTCCGAGTGGGCTCCCAGAGAAGGCAGTGAAGCAGGGAAGCCCCTTGGCTCCCAGCGGGACTTCCTATTAAAAGCTGGCGCTGGGCTGCGGCTCAGTGGTAGAGTGCTTGCCCAGTGGGGACAAAGCCCTGGGTTCCATCCATGGTTCCACAGGAAAAGAAAATCTGAGACCAGTTAAACTTAACAAAGTTTGCTTGACCAAGAAAAACATTCCAGTTTGGGGCGGCATTCCACACCCTGGATGGTTCTGTGTACCAGGGCTACCTGTGTAGATGGGTATCTGTAACCAGAGCAAAGGAAGTGACAGTCAAAAGCAACCTGATTGGCTGCAGGGGCCTATTTGCCTTATATGGGCGGGTTTGGGTAGCTTTCAGCCTCTGATTGGCTGGAGTTTCAGCTGCTGTGATTGGCTAAGACTCCACAACTTGGTTACAAGGGTGTACTGTTAGGTTACCTTCCAAGCAGCAATCCTCATGATTGGAGCAGAGAGGGGGCTTACTGGGTGATCAAGGGCAAATGTGACTTTCATCCAAGCTAGATAGTACCTATTTGGTTTTGGTTTTGGTTTTTTGAGACAGGGTCTCGTTATGGAGTGCAGGCTGGCCTTGAACTCACTCTATAGTTCAGGCTGGCCTGGAACTTGTGGGGATCATCCTGCCTCAGCCTCCCAAAGTGCTGAGATCACAGGTGTGGACCACCATGCCTGGGCTGACCCTGATTTAGTTCAAGGATGTCAGGCATATTCCTGCATTTACATATTGCAGGATTTCACATGTAGAAATCCTCCTGAATAGACAAATCCATAGGAACAGAAAATAGATATCTCCCTGGAGCTGAAGAGGATGGGCACAGTGGCTTCTTTCTGAGATAATGAAATGTGCCGATACTGGCTGTGGCCATAGCCAAGCAAGTCTGAGAACACTGAGTGGATTGTTAGTTTTGTAAATTATATCCCAAAAATGCTGCAAAGAAATGAATCACCTGTCTCAGTGTCTGCCGTGGGTTCTGGTAATTGTATAGTTGTGTAACCAGCACCATGATCGAGATACAGAAGGTTCTGTCACACCCTAAAGCATTGCTGCGCTTCTTGGCAGCAAATCTCCCAACTCCCAGGCCAGGCAACCATGGATCTGCTTTCTGTCACCTTGATTTGGTCTCTTTTAGAACTTCTTGTAAAGAATTATTCTAGGTTTAGCCTCCTCTGTTTGGCTTCCTTCATAGAGCCGCGTGTTTCTGAGATTCACCCATGTTCTTGGCTGTATCTAACGTTTCCTCTTTTTCATTGCTGAGTAGTACTCTACTGTACCATCTACTATGGGGTATCTCATCCATTTGACATCGGATGAACATTCACTCATTAGTATTCCCATTTGGAGCTATCATGAATGAGGTTATCAGCATTTGTGTACAAGTCTTTTTTTTTTTTTTTTTTTTTTGAGACTCCCTCTCGCTAAATTGCCCAGGCTGGGCCACAATTTGAAATCCTCCTGCCTCAGCCTTCCTCCCAGGATCCTGGGATTACAGGTGTTATCCACCACACCTGGCAAAGTGCACATATCTTTATGTAGACATGTTTTCATTTCCCTTGGGAAAATACCCAGGAGGGAGATCTGCCATGGATTCAGGGAGAAGTGCTTTGCAGGGATCTCCAGCTAGGAGGGGCCCATGGTCAAAAGATGAATTCTTCGGCCTAAGGGAAGGAAAGAGACTGGCTGTCTGGGGTGTCCCACTCCTTTCTCCTCCCAAGAGTTCACCCACCTGTCCCCTTGTCCTGGCTCTCAGCCTCTGCGGCTGGGGAATCCCATCATCCACTCTGAGGGAGAAAGGAGATTGTAAGTGTAGGTGACTTCCTGGTGAACGAGTCCAAGAAGGTTGGGCCACACACAGGGGACACAAGCCGCCGGCAGGAGCCAGGAGGCTCCCGTGGGTCGGTGACAAACCCCAGCATGCAACAGCACTTCCTGCATGTTGGTTCCACCCAGATAAATATGCGTATTCCCCAGGGAACCTCGCAAAGGAAATGCTATTGTGTGTCCCTGTTTGCCAGGTGAAGAAAACAAGGCACAGAGAGACCAAGCTTGCCCTAGGCCTGCACATAGGGACAGACATGCACCTGCTCCCTCTTGCCCAGGGGTGAGACATTTTTTTGTGGGGGGAATATTACCAGGGATTGGATTCAGGGCCTTGGTACTGAGCTACATCGCTAGCCCTTTTTTATGTTTGGAGACAGGCTCTCGCTAAGTTGCCCAAGCTGGCCTCAGAACGATCCTCCTGCCTCAGTCTCCCTAAGGGCTGGGGTGACAGGTGTGTGCCACGTGCCTGTGAGGTGAAACTTTTCACTGTAGTGTGACGCAGCCCCTGCTTTGCCCCACGCTGGCTGCTCTTCCCAGAGAAATTCTTTCCCAGGCCCATGAAAGGCAGGGCTCAGGGTGTTGGAGAAGGATGCTGGGAAGGGGTCACTTTCAGGCACAGAGAGAAAAAGTAAAGGGTACACAAAATACAGAGCAGGGCTGGGAGGCGGGCCGGGTACAGAGCTTGCCGAGCATGCACGAGGCCTGCGTTGCATCCCCAGCGCCCAGCGCTGAAGAAGAAAAGGCGGGTGTGTGATAGCGCATGCCTGTAATCCACACTCCTGGGGAGGCAGGAGGGTCACAAATTTGAGTCCTGCCTGGACAGCTTGGCTATGACCTGCCTCAAACAAAAAAAAAAAAGAAAAGAAAAGAAAAGAGAAAAAAAAAAATGGGACAGGGAGGGGCCTGAGCCCTCAGGCAGAGGAGAGAGCCTGACAAGAAAATGGATACAGCAGAAGGCTCCAGAGAGAAACGGAGGCAAAGAAAGCTGGTTTCGCCCCTTCCTGACCCTTCCAGTACTGCCTGCAGCCCTCACCCACTCTCAGCCTGTCATGAGGGGTTCTGTTCCCCCCAAGTCTCCACCCGGTCCTGTCACAGCCACCCACCCCGCTTTGCGAACCTGCTTCCCCGGTGCCCAGCGTCCCCTGCACCTCAGGCCTCCGCGACTCCCTTCCATCAGAGGATGCGGCTTCCAGAAGGTTCCTCTGGCCGAGGCTTCCTCATCCTTGGCTCAGTGAAAATGCTGTCTCTGCCCCCCGGCCCCATTCCTTCAGGGCTTCTGTGCCACTGCCATTAACATCTCTCTGGTTGGGCAGCCTGGTGCACGTCTTGATGCCAACACTCTAGGAGGCTAAGGCAGGAGGATTGCAAGTTCAAGCCCAGCCTAGACAACTTAGTGACTGGGGAGACCCTGTCTCAAAGTAAAAAAAAATTGTAAAAAGGCCTGGGGATGTGGCTCAGTGTAAAAGCCCTGAGTTCAGTGTCAAAACCAAAACCAAGCAAAACACCGCTCTGCACTGAGGTTCTCTTTGCAAGTCTGTGAGCCTCAGCAGAACAGAGGTTCTTTGTTCACTCCGGGGGGCCAGGCTGTGGACCCTGAGATCTGACTGAAGTGCCATGTGCGCTCTGGGCCTGTCTGTTCCTTCCTCTCATCTTCCATGATCTCTGGAGACAGAAAGTGACAAGTCCTGCCCAGCTGGCTCCGAAGAAACTGAGCTTGCCTTTGCCTGGGGTCCCAGGCTGTGCCCCCTTCCCTAGCATTCACAAGGCTGAGACAGGAGGATGGCTGAGGCAGGAGTTCAAGGCCAGCATGGGGAACATAGTGAGTTCCAGGCCAGCCTGGACTACATAGCGAGATCCTGTCTCAGAAAGTAAAAACGAAAAAGCCACTGCTGCTAACAGGCTTACCCTATGACCTTCTGCCTAAGCCAGGCCTGCGCACTTGAGTCCTTTCTCCCCTCCCCTCTCCCCATCCCTCACAGCTTCCTGTGACCCATGGCCCATGGTGGACTGCAGGGGGCGTGGTGACAATTGATGGCCATACCTGCTATGCCCAATATGTGTAACCCCTCCGCAGCCTCCGCCTGCTTCAGCCCGGGGAATGCAGCAGATGTATAACTGGGGCAGTCCTAAGCCAAGTCTTTAAAGCACTGGCACCTTCTGCTCCCTCCCCTGGGAGTGCTCACTCTTGGGAGCCCTGAGTACTGACATGCAGAGTGAGGTCTTATGTTCCCGGAGAAGGAACTTTTATTCTGTGGCTGCTAATTGTCTTGCAGCCAGAGCGTGGTTACACCAAATGCATCAAACGGACATGCTGAGAGATACGGTTTGTTTGTTTGTTTGTTTGGTGCCAGGAATCGAACTCAGGACCTTGTACTTGCCAGGCAGGTGCTTCTACCACTGAGCTACATCCCCAACCCTGTTTTGTATTTTATGAGGCAAGGTCTCACTGTGCAGTTTGAGCTGGCCTGGAACTTACTATGTAACCCAGCATGTCCTTAAACTTTTGGCGATCCTCCTGCTTCAGTCTCCTGAGTGCTGGGATGGCAGGTGTGTGCCGCCAGGCCCAGCTGGAGAGAGTTGCTTTGGTGGCCGCAGGTCTCTGTCACGGACCTGTCACAGATGTCTCTGCCCATCCACCTTCCTCCCCAATCAGGTCTATGAGAGCTCCTGCCCTCCTGTGAGTGCCGTGTCTAAGCAACCTCCGCGGGTCAGTCTGGCTGCTCTGCCTGGACACTGTTCCACTCTGTGCGACAAGGGTTCTAAAACAGCTCTTCCACATAGTGTGGTTTCTGTCTTGAGTAGCTCTGCTAAGCTGGCAACACCAAGGGCAGGTGGCAGCAAGAGTGGACAGAGGTGGTAATACTGAAGACGCCTGACAGCCAGAGAGCAGTGAAGGACTGCTGGGAGCTGCCAGTTCTGGAAGTTGCCACAGCCCGCTGTAGCTGCTTGCCCCAGGCTGTGGCGGGCGGGGGGGGGCACTAATGCTGACAGAGCTGATAGCCAGTGGCATTCAAAGCCCATGACTGTAAACATCGAAAGAACTGCACTCTGCCAATTCTTGATTTCTGTATCAAACTGAGCAAGAACCCTCAGCCAGTGGGCAACATCCGGGAAGCAGGTGGGGGAGCCTCTCCTCGGAGGGCCCTGAAGAGGGTGGACAATGGTGACAGGTGCAGGTTCTAAAATCAGACCATGTCTGATTTCCATCACACACACACCCCACCTGGGGACAGTCTCACAGAAGTCCATACATCCTGTATGTAGAGGGAAGGTGTGCCACTCCATAGAGGAAAAGCAGCCCCAGCATTCCTGCCAAAGTGCCCGGCAGGCCTGAGCGTGCCACCTTGAATGTTCCAGTGCAGCTGGGCTGCAGCAGTCTGTGTCTCTGGTCACCACCACATGGAACTGCAGAACCACACTGCAGAGCCCAGTCAATCCCAGCAATCGTGAGTGGCCCTAATTATTGTTTATGGCTCCAAAAATCATAAGCCCAGATGGGGAGACACAAAGCCCCAGCTCCTGATGCCTCATAGTATCTGGCTGAGGGGGGGGCTCAACCTGAGGCCACACTCTGGCTCTTCTTCTTCCCCTTTGCCATCCCTTTCCTCTCCTCCCTTTCTGCTCTCTCCTGGAACCAAATCACTGGCACCTGAATCTTGTCCAGGCTCTGCTTCCAAAACCAGCTGACCTCAGACAGGACACTTCTCATCATGCCACCTCCAACTGGAACCCAGTTCAGCTCCCTCTGTCCTCCTCACTCTTTCTTGCCCTTCTGCATCCAGAACCACCCTCCAGATTCCCCAGACAACACACAGCCATCATACGTGTGTGTGTGTGTGTGTGTGTGTGTGTGTGTGTGGTGGTGGTGGTGGTTTGAGGATAAAATTACCCATGAGGCCTCTGAAGGAAGCAGCAAGCAGCATGTTGGCCTGGCCAGTAGCATTCGAACCCCCATCCCACCTGCACACCCGTGGGGACACGCGGGTCACATACAGGTCGGCAGACAAAGTCCAGGTTGTGGGCTGGGTGGCGGCAGCAGCTCTGGGACATGAGGGGACGGGGTCGTCTTTGATCTTGTGTCTGCCACAGGAGGGGCTCGGTTGGTTGCTCCATACCCCAGGGGAGTCTCTCTGTGGCCTCCACCCCCAGCAGTTCTGAGTCCCTGGACACCCCAGAATCCATCACCACGGATCCTCCAGCAGGTCCCACACCCGGGCGCCACCGGAGTCAGATAAGTCAGCAGAGAAGATGCTGGGGCCCGGGGGGCCGGAGCCTAGGGGAGGACCCCCGCTCAGGGCCTCGAGCCAGTCCAAGGCTTCTGTGGGTCCCCCGGGAGAGGAGGACGGGGAGTTCACCAGGGACGGGAGCGAAGAGGAGAAGACGGAGGAGAGGCCTTCGGAGTCCAGGGAGGGGGACAGGACGTCGAAGGAGCCGGGGAAGTCCAGAGGGATGGGGGGCAGCAGGTCTGCAGGAGAAGGAGCGGGGCGTCGGGAACGAGGCCCCAGGAACCGAATTCCTCCTTTTCGGGAGTCCTGTTCCCCAGCCCTCCCAGGAGGCAGAACCTCGCCCCTTCTCTCAAATCTAGGAGATCGGCTCCTACCATCAGGCTCCACCTGGTCCTTCAGGAGGTCTTCCACACCCCGGCTCGGAAGCAGCTGCGGACGAGCGACACCGCGTGAACGCGGGGCTCCGGCGGGACCCGGGCCCAGGCCCCGCTGGGCACCACCCCCTCACCTGCGCCCTTCGGATCGCTTCCTGCAGCTCCTCCTCCAGACTCGGGGCGGCGGAGGCCGGTGCTGAGCACGATGTCAGCACTGGAGCCGGAGCCTGCGTCGGAACAGGAGGTGGGGCTGCTACCAGGGCATCCGCGGATCGTGGAAGAGGTGGCCGGGGAGGCCCGGGATTTAATTTGACCTGGAACCGCGAAACCAGCAAGGTCCTGTCAGCCACGCACACCGGGAGCAACCCCACCCACTCTCACTCTGCGGCTTCACCCAGGCCTTTGCCGGCAACGCCCCGCCTGGTCCCTTGGCCTCGCCCCCTATTCTTTCATTGGATTCTTCCCTTAAGATCCTCCCCTTAACCACGCCCCTCACCTTGAATGAGCCGCCGGGCCACGCCCACAACCTCATTGGCTACTCAATGTTCGACTTCCCGCCCCATCCCTCTTTATCACCTTTCATTGGGTCACAAGCATATAGCCCCGCCCTCACCCCGCCCTGCCGCCGGGCGATTCCCAGGGGTTTGGGTCTGAGGCGCGGCCAGGGAGCGACCGAGGCGTTGTCGTCACGCCTCAGCTTCTGCCGCTCGCGGGGCGGGGCGCCGCCGCGCATGCGCTCCAGAAGCATCGACTTGGTCCCGGATACCGGGAGACCTCTCAGGCGTAGCTGCTGTCGGAGCTCTGAGACCTAGGGAGGGGACGGGGGAAGGCAGTGCTGGGGCTGCTGCAAGCGCAGCCAGGACCAGGACATTTTCTTTTTGTTTTGTCTTTTTGAGAGAGGGTCTTTCTATGTAGTTCAGGTTGGCCTTGAACTCACTGTATAGCCCAGGCTGGCTCAAACTCGTGGCAGTCCTGCCCCTGCCTCCCGAGTGCTGGAATTACAGGCATGCACCACCACGCCTGGCAGGGATAGGACATTTGGAAACTGACAAGAGAGGGACTGGGTCTGGCCTCCTGGGACCCTACAAAGGATGACACTGAGGATCCAAACTTGGATTTCCTTGGGGCAGGGGCTGCTAGGTTAGAGGTCTGGGTCACTCAGCCTGGCCCGGGGTCACATGCCTGTAATCTCAACACTCGGAGGCTGAGGCAGGAGGATGGTGAATTTGAGCCCAGCCTGGAATACTTAGCCACTTATCGAGACACTACCTCAACATAAAAATTTAAAAATTTTTTAGAAGGACTGGGAATATAACCCAGTGTGAAACTTTGACTCAGTCTCCAGTACCTCCACCCTTCCCCAAAGGACTCTGGACCTCACGGAAGGAAAGGACCGGCCTGGCAAGGTGCCCCCCAACTCACCGTCAGCTCTTCCAGTTTAAGGGTCTGAAGTTCCAACTTGTGTGGAGGGGCCGAGGGACTGGGGACCCCTGGTGCGGAGGGAGTGAGGGGCGCAGGCTTCACCCTAGGGACAGTCACGGGGGCAAAGGTTAGAGGGGCAGGAAGAAAGTGCTTCGGGGTCCCCAAAGCCAGGGAAAGTGGGAGCGGAGGATTCTGGGACCTCCGAGGGAACAACACATGGGGTAGACGTCGGAAGGGAGAAGAGCTGGGAGCCGGGCCAGCGGGGTCTGGGGGAGGAGGGGTTTGGCGCC